GTAAGACGGCATCCCACCGATTATCTACAAAAAATGCGCTGACGTTCTTTCTCAGCCTCTTGCTGATATATTCAATCTCTCCATGAACTTTTATGAGGTACCTTGTCTCTGGAAAAAAGCCATGGTTACGCCTATTCCAAAAAATTGGCAATGCTACTAAAGTGTCTGATTTTCGTCCCATAAGCCTTACTCCAACCCCAATAAAAGTGATGGAGAAGATAATAAGGAGTAAGCTAATTTTCTGGATCAAAAAGCATTATAGAATTCCACCTCAACTACATGGTTTTATCTCGAACAGATCTACTACTACAAACCTTGTCAAGAGTATTTCCGATTGGAGAAGGGCTATTAATTCTGGAAAGTCAATCGATGTTATCTACGTTGATCTTTCTAAAGCCTTTGATAGAATTCCGCATGATATTCTGATATCAAAGCTGCAAAAATTTGGAATTTCTGGAAACCTTCTATGCTGGTTCAGGTCATACCTCCAAAACAGGGTTATGACTGTTAGAATGGGTCAATCGTTTTCTGGTGAGTATAAGTGCACTAGTGGGGTTTCCCAAGGTGGTGCACTTTCCCCCCTACTGTTTCTTATATTTACCATAGAACTACCTGACCTACTCAATGCAAATGGAATCAATGTACAAATCTATGCAGATGACATCAAATTATACGCTTCTTATAATGAAAATGATATCCATGAGTGCACAATACTCTGCAGTCTGCCTTATACAAATTAAATAGATTGGCAGTAATTAATGGCCTTTCTCCAAATTCTGACAAGTGTTCCTATTTACATCTGGGCAAAATTACCTCATGTGAATACGTAGTGAATGGATCTGTTTGCTTTCGACTTCCTTAGTTAGAGACTTGGGAGTTTTTGTTGATTACCGGTTGAATTTTACTTCACATATTGACTAGTCGTCAAGAAAGCTTACTCTACTCTATCCGCAATCTTCGCTGTATCCATTCAAGTGATCCTGTTGTGCTTATACGACTATATAAAGCATGCGTGCTTCCACACCTTGAGTATTGCTCTCAAGTATGGAATCCATGTCGAAAAAAGGAAATCATCAAGCTTGAAAAAGTTCAGCGCACTTTCACTCGAATGGTCTTTTCTCGAATGTTACGTTCTAAAAACTTAACATCCATTCCTGATTACGATAAACGACTCGAGTTCACTAAGCTAAAAACTCTGAAACAGCGACGAATTATTGCTGATTTAGCATTTTGCTTTGGCGTACTGCGTAAAGAAATTGACCTCTCGGCTAGCGACTTCTGGGTGTTTAGACCAGTAAGTAGCAGAGTGGTAGGCTTCAATCTTCATTACCCCAGACTTGGCAAATGCTGTTATTCGGGACTTTTTAACTTTTTGTTTTATCGTTGTGCGCGCTGGTTTAGACGATTACCTTCGAAATTGTTATCAGCCAAAAATAGTTCGACTTTCAAAAAAGCGTTACAAAATTTTAACCTGACAAAAATAGAAGGCGATTCTCATTCATATTTGTGTTGATTCTCAAAATGATCAGTTCAGTGTTTTCTTTATTGTTCATCTACATTGCATTTTTATGGATTTTATAGCTTACATCGGATGAGTGATGACTCATTGTTTGATACAGCTGATTATCTGGCATCTATCAAAGATGCTCTTGATTTCCATACATTTTTTGAAATGTAACTCAGATTTTTATGTGCTGGATTGATGAGCTGGCCGGTCACATTATTGAATATTTTTCTATTACTTACACCAGCTGACCATGCTCCTCTCACGAAAACTGATATTTATTTAGTTCCTTTTTCTCAACTAATCAGTGCACTAAGCGAAGTTTTTCAAGTGAACTACCCGGCCAATCGAAATCTTACATCCAACAAATCTGTGCTATTTTGAGCTTTGATCCCGCATTCATGTTTGCCCATGTTGCTCAAGCACGGAGGGAAGTGGAGGCCGTAGGTAGTATAATGGAGGCCTAGGTACGCGTGGTCTAGCCATATTGCCTAGGTACTACCTCCAATGCGGACCACTCGAAAGTGATGAATCCATGTTATTGGTAATCAACCATGGGGTTGTTTCAGACTGCCGCACTGACTGCAGCAGACTGCAGCAGACTGCAGCAGACTGCAGCTGACTGCACTGACTGCAGCAGACTGCAGCTGACTGCAGCTGACCGCACTGACCGCATCGGTCGCAGCCTCTTTTCTTAAAAGAAAACAACCGCGATTACCAAAACAGCGTGGTTTAGGCATAAGAAGATCATAAATTCCATCAGAATTCTTCTCAATCAAATTTTGGCGATAGTTTTCTTTGGTATGTTCGTATTTGTTTTAATTCCTCCTATCATTGCATATACCTGTTTTGTAACATTCTAAACCGTGTTGTCTTTTGCTTTTACGTATATATTGTTGTTGTTTGTTTAAACCACAACTATTTATCCTCTCCTCCTGCATGCTACAGCCGCTGCGGTCGTTGCGGTCAGTGCGGTCAGCTGCAGTCTGCTGCAGTCAGCTGCAGTCTGCTGCAGTCTGCTGCGGTCAGTGCAGACTGCTGCAGTCAGTGCGGCAGTATGAAACAACCCATGGTAACACATCATGCTCCGTTATTTTGGGCACTACGGCTAACCACAACATTCTTAAATGCCTAAGGTCAAAGCTACCACTGAATAATAGTGTTGTTAATAAATCACTAGCGCTTCTGTGCATTAGTGACGAAACGGTGCTAGTATACTCTGTCTTATGTGATTCCTTTTGCCTCGGCCTCCTTTGGACACCATTCTTATCAACTGTAGAAGTCTGGTCAGCAGGCAGCGAGTTCTACCCAATTTGTGTTACTGGCTAGACTTTGTGTTTGTGTTTCTGCGTTCTTTCTTTTTAATGGCGCACCTTGAGTGCATATAATAAATAAATAAATAAATAAAGACGCCCTTGCGACAGAACGTATCATGTAACTACAGTGCTGGCCAAAACTATAGATCCACTTTGAAAACTTCCGTAACTTATCTGCTTCTCAACGAATTGATCTGAAATTTGGTACAGCAGTGTGTTTGACACGCTACCATCAGTGACCAGAATGGATCCCGATTTCGTTTGATTATTCAGGAAAAAAATCAAAAAATTTGAAAAAAACACGCTTGGAGGCTGGCCAAAACTATAGATCCACCTAGAGTTTTTGTCCACTAAAGTGATTCTCGGCTCCTAAAGTCTTTTGTGCATATACATAGTCATGAGTCAAAACAGTTGCTTTAGTCTAGCTGTGTGATATCTTTATAAGAAACGCTTATTTGCTTTTTTTGATTTAGAATACTTTCAAGCGTATATTATTCTCAAGAACGTATTTTTATAGATGATTCCGCGGTATTTTTCAACTGATTTGGAAGCGATAGGGCTCCATCTATCATATAGATGTTAAGGGAATTGAGAACTAGGAAGAAATCTTAGTTTTCGTATTTAAAGCGCACCCGACATAGACCTAACAGCATGCCTGCGCTCAAATTTATGCCCTTAAAACTCTTTCTGCAATGTTCCCATGAGCGTGAAGTGGAGTAACGACATTGTCTGTATGTATGTGAGTCCGTATCCAGTTGTTTGCAGATTTCTGTAGACTCTAGGATGCATGCTAATTAAGGAGTTCATTCTGCAAAAACTGATTTGCAACAAGCCTCAAAGTTATTTTTGGTTCTGACCACAGAACTCATGTGAGTCACAAGGCACATACAATACAGTGTGTTTTCACTATTTATCAGCTAATTAGTGGCAGAAAATCAGGAAAGCTACTACTTGGTAAGTATTTTGGTATTGCCTAACGTTATAATTGAACCGCGAGACTTATACATTGAAACGAAGCGAAATGCGACTTCTCGAACACTCGTGAGTGTAGTGTACAAGCTTTCTTTCTAGGTATGTAATGCTTGTACATTATTTTAAGCTCAAAAAAATAGCATGAACCAATTTTGAAGGCATAAATTTGAGCGAGCGCAGGCATGCTGTTAGGTCTATGTCGAGTGCGCTTTAAATACGAAAACTCAGATTTTTTCTTAGTTCTCACTTCCCTTAGCATCTATATGATAGAAGGAGCCCTGTCGCTTCCAAATCAGTTGAAAAATACCGCGGAATCATCTATAAAAATACGTTCTTGAAAATAAAATGCGCTTGAAAGTGTTTTAAGTCAAAGAAAGCAAATAAGTGTTTCTTATAAGGATATCACACAGCTAGACTAAAGCGACTGTTTCGACTCATGACTATGTATATGCACAGAGGACTTTGAGAGCCGAGAATCACTTTAGTGGACGAAAACTCTAGGTGGATCTATAGTTTTGGCCAGCCTTCAAGCGTGCTTTTTTCAAAATATTTGATTTTTTCTTGAATAATCAAACGAAATCGGGATCCGTTCTGGTCACTGATGGTAACCTGTTAAACACATTGCTGTACCAAATTTCAGATCAATTCGTTGAGAAGCAGATGAGTTACGGCAGTTTTCAGAGTGGATCTATAGTTTTGGCCAGCACTGTATTTCACGGCGGACATAATCATCTTTAAACTCTTACCCAGTAACAAGCTTAATCACAGTTTGCCTTGACAAATGCATGTGCAAAAGCTAAGCTTGAAATTTTTCTTCGATTACTCAAGAGTTATAGGTGTATCCACTTGCTCATTAACTCAAAATCAGCTGTGTCCTTTTTTTCTCATCACATGAGGAGTTCTGTACACAAATTTGCTTATACCTTGGCTCTACTGAAGTAAAGATATCAGCCCATAAATCTAGTGGCCGTACTCATCAACGAACCCTGAGGGTAAACCCTACCCTCATGTGTGGATTTACTCTTGAGGTTAAACCTACCCTGTGCATAGTATGAACAGATTTTATGCTTCCTGGGGCAAAACTTACTCTCAAAGGTAAGGTTTGCCTTTAGGGTTCGTTGATGAATAGATCTTCAGGGTGCTTCTCAGAATTACAGCTTTATCTAAAACTTACAAGCGCTGTGTTGCAATTTTTCCAAAACATTTAGGTGGTCAGTGCACCAACGACAACGACTTCAACAACTACAACTACAACAACAACTACTACTACTACTACTACCACTCTTACTCCTACTGCTACTACAACTCCAATTGCAGCAACCACAACATCTATTCCAGATAACACAACAGCGCGTAAACATTCAATTCATAATGCATACTTTGTAAGTTTTGCATCCAAAATCTGTTCAGCATGTGTTGATCGCGTTCACCCACGCACTGGCATCTCGGACTGCCCGCGACTAATAATGTTCTGTCGTGTCACTGTTTACTACCAACTCATGACAGAGCAATGTCCTCGAACATGCAATCGATGCCCAGATTCTTCAACAAATTCAGGTGACAAATAGTCCACTTTGCTGTTTTCGACATATACGTAACATTTTCAGAATGCAAAGACAATGTACATCCACGCAGAGGAGTGTCAGATTGCCCAAACATGGCTATGCTATGCAGGAGCACTTTGTACATGCAACTGATGTTTGAACAATGTCCTAAAACCTGTGGTTACTGCACTTAGTCTTGCTTTGAATAAATATGGCGACAGTCGAGAACAAACATTTACTGAAAACGATATATTGACTGATTGAGCGCTATGAACTACTGTCTGTTTAAGATGATGCATCAATTTTGAAATCTTGGCAAAAAAGTTAATCAAGGCTCATTACCCCTCAAGAAGTCCATAGGCTCCATAGGACCAGCCTGATAAAATAGTCGAATCTCAACATTTACACCATCACACGTATAAAACGCGGGGGATTTTTTTCTTAAATCGAACATCACAGACAAGCCGAAGGACTGCGACCAGAACTAATCTACAGTGCTGCTTATAGCCTGATAGTATCGTGCGCCGTGAGTCTCGTTTTCCGAAACATAAAGAGCCGGTTAAGCGGCATGCTTGAGAAACCGAGAAAGGTGCGTCTTATACGCATAAAATTAAGGTACTCTTTCCAAGCTGTCCACACTCCTTCATGGCAAAGATCAAATGTCAACCAGTAGAAAATCTTTTTTCTTTTTACACAATTAGAAAAAGAGTAAAGTGAGTTGCGGTGAGTAAACTAGTTCTGTTCGTTTTTAAAAATCCTCTACTTCTGAAAAATTAAGACGTCGAAGAATGAAAAAGAAAGCCATCTATGCGTATGCAATTCTCAAGTCAGTGAAAACAAAATATGTTGGTAAATATGTGCAAAGTGGGAAATTTTTCTTAACCATTTCAGACCAAACTTTGCACACATACATTCGGGGGCGGATCGGATATCGTAACTTTTCGTTATCGATATATCATAAGTTTCATTAAAATATTGCAAATTTGAGCTTTCCAAAAGGTGGTTACGGGGATTGAGAAAGAGCGAGTTGGGGGGGGGGGAGAGAGAGATAAGTGAATATGTATAGTTAGAATTATCGACTACCTCAATCGATGCTATCAGCTTTTCAAAAAAAAGCAAACGGATTCAAGATTCAGAGTAAGTGAATGTACTGTTTACGAAGCTATATAATACTCCCCTAATTTCACGCGTGCAAGGCGCGGGGTACTAGCTTTTATCGACTAGCCCGAACACGGCAAAGGACTTCGCAACCAAAGGAACCCCATACCGTGCTGCGTTTTGCCTGACGAATCGTGCGGCATAAGGATCGCTTCTTAAAACACGTTGGGGCGGCTGAGCAGCTCGATGAAAGCTAGGACTACCCCGCGCCTTGTACGCGTGAAATCAGGGTAATTGGTTTACGCTATAACGCGTTTTCTATGTTAAGCAAAAATGGTCAAAAAATGTAATCACAACGGAACTTTGCACATGGACATCAAGTAAGAGAGAGTGTTGAAAACTATTTTCTATAGAATGCTGGCAGACTTTTCAATTGATTTTTGCCTTAATCGCTCTAAAAAAATCAAAATTGGTACAGGCTATAATTAAGCATGCTTTCTTCAAGTAAGTAACTCAAATTTTCTCATTCGATTACCTCTAATGGTTATTATTTTATTTCGTAGTTTTCTGTTTTTCTTTTGGATCTTGTTCAAAAAAAACCCTAAAGTAAGCAAGTAAGTCCACTTACTATTTGAAGCAAGCTCGGAATCATGATTGGCCGTTTTTATTTAAGAATGGGCTTAGAACGCCATCATTAGGCTTCCTCTGCATAACCTGGCGAATTTGACAAATGAATCCTTGAAAACAATTTTGCTTTCGATACTTTCGAATTCCATGATAATTTCTTTGCTCGCGTCAACTGCGCAGGCTAATGGGAGCTTTTTTCAGGGGCTGACGTCTCGTTTCTATCATATCGCTTTCCAGCAAAAGGGACAAGAGGGTTCGCAATGTACTCTATAGTAAAGATTAGGAGTAGAACAATTTATATAAGACCAGTCTGATCGTCCGGCTTACGCCGGACTCTCAGACTTCTGTTTTGTTACTTTTTCCGACAAACATATCTACTTTTTTGTTTTCAATTATTTTTACAGTCTTCGAAACAAAGACTGTAAAAATTCTTAAGCTGCATGCAGTTGAATCCAAACTTCAGTTTTATATTTGTTTTTGAGTATTCATTTGGAAATAACATTGATAGCGTATGTAAGGTTTTATCGAGTTTTTTCAAACAAAGTAAAGAGCAGCGTTTTTGAAACCGGTAAAGATTGTAAATGTACTTTATCATGGTTCAAGGCGAGTTCTGAATAATCTTCGTTAAATTTTTCGTTGCTATAAATAATCCATAGTTTACTTTTGTTACCGATATGAAATTGCTGAATACCTTGCTCGTCATAAACAACATTCTTTACTGATTTGTCCGGACAGTTTACTCTCAAACCTGCTGGAGAACGAACGCGGGAGAGAGCGACATATAGCTGACCATGACTAAATACGTCCTCTAGCAGGTGTAAGCCCACTCTATCGAAGGACTGTCCTTGCGACTTGTTGATCGTCATCGCAAAGGCCACACGAACGGGAAACTGTCTTCTCTTCAGTCGGAAGGGTACACTGCCGTCCCAATAGTTATCTATTTTAGGGATCATTGCTAATGTATCCTTATGTTCACCGCAGATGAAACGGTAGCCAAGAATGCGGCGTCCCAACGTTTCGATCTTCATACGCGTCCCGTTGCACAAACCATTCGCATCGTCCAAATTACGGAGCAGCATTACGACGGCACCTTTCTTTAATCGCAAATCATGCGGGGGCATGCCGGAAGGCTCGAGCGTGTTCAAATATTCTACTGGATACATCTCTCCTGAAGCTCCCTCCGGAAGTACTGCCTCGTCTGCACTTTTATATGTTCGCTCGTCTTGTGCATTAGTAGCATGTAATCGCTCCATTGCTTCATCATTCAATCTCTTGACATGCGCGTTTTTAGGGGCAATTATTGCCCTCTTGTATAGGCCTTCTGTTTCTTGAGCATCAATGGATTCACCAAAGATCTCTGTGACTATGTTTCCTGTGCAAAGAACATCGCTTTGCAAATCAACTCTGCCGTCTTTGTTGTTAGCTTGGCCGCTTCCTACATTAAGGAGAAATCTATACCAATCGCGACCTGCATCTCTAGATCGCATATTGAACTGTAGGCGACACACTTTGAAAAGTGGCCATAACACTGATCGAGTAACACAGGATTCGACAATATCTTCCCTTTGCCCATGCTCTACTACGGGAAGAAGTTGACGAAAATCACCGCCCACGATCAGCAACTTTCCCCAAAATGGCCTATCGTTTTGCATTATAACACGCAGCAGGACGTCTACAGCTTCAAGTGCACATTTTGGCGCCATATCTCATCCCAAATGATTATGTCTGTGCTCATGAGCTGATGTGCTTCCCTTTGTTGTCGCTTCATAGTTGATGAGCGATTTCCGTCCGCCATGTTCAGTTTGAATGCTGAGTTTACAGTTCTTCCTCCAGGAAGCAGGTTCGCGGCTATACCCGTCCATGCCACACAAAGAATTTGACGTCGCTGCCCCATTGCTAAGTTGTAAACTGCTGTGTATAGGTACGTTTTCCCTGTTCCGCCGGGTCCGTCTATGAAGAAGCAACGTTGATTTTCGCAGCTCAAAGCTTCAAGTATATCGTCAGCTGCTCTTTTCTGTTCTGGGTTCAGTGTCTCATATAGGCGTAATCCTTAGGAGTTATAAAACTCGTAATTAACAGGCATCGCTTGCATGGATGGACGTTCGTTAGCGGGCGGTGCGACAATTTGTTGCAGTATTTTGCCCATAAGCTGCATTCTGTCTGCCACGTCAAAGTAAGCAATCGCAACAGCTTGCGTATCATCAAATCCTTCATGGACATAGTCTTCCGACATTGCTGCAGCGAACTCATTCCATAACTCTTGGGCATCAGATATCTTACAATAGCACAGTAGGCAAGCAAAGAAACTGCGCAGTGCAGCTGGTGTTTGGAAGTGCACGGCTTCTTGAAGACTCTCTCTAAGATAGCTGTCATCGTCAAGTAGAACAAGTGCTTTGGCCGCATCTGAAAACTTGGGGTACGTCCGTTCCTCCACTGTACGCAAGTCTTCAAAAATTGTTTTTCCTTTAGTATTCAAGAGCAGAAGGCGCAGACAGTATCTTTCTATATCTCTTGGTGATACTGTATACATTCTTCCGATTTCGCCACCTCTGCGTCTTCTCGGTCTCCAGCCTTGTTGAGGGGTGAAGGTAAAGTGTTCGGGCAGCTCGTAGTAGTAAAGCTCTGTGGGGTTAACAGCCGTAAGAGCATCTACACCTGTCGTTCCAGATAGCCGATTTAGTTCGAAGTACGCCGTAAGAGTAGTGAAACGATTCTGCGCGCGCTCAAGATATTGCTGCTCTTCACCCGCGACAAAATGAACCGTCTGAAATTCTGGTAAATGCACCGCTAGTCGGCACACACTGTGTGATTTGTCCTGCAGGCTGAAACCGAATATTCTGTGCAATGCCTGAGGTGAGCACACATACCGCGCATTCAAGTGCTGTTTAATCTCGTCTACGGCTGCTCCACTCTCACTTTCAATAGTAAGTCGTGCGCGGTGGTCCCTTGTAAATGTACTTGTATAAGTACTTAACGGCCGAGATGGTACCGCATACTTCAAGATTTATGTGGCAGTCAAATTTGGTAATGAGATACAAATTCGTCGGGACCACCCACGCATCGTTGTAGACTGTACTGTTGATTTTACACGTGTTTTTGTTTCGTCTCCTGTACATCGGGTATCCATCTACATCCATCGATGTATTCTCAATCAAGTGTTTGGGAAATCGCTTGGAACACTTTCCGTCGCGCATGCACGGCGAATTTGGATCGTTCGCACCACATTTCTTGTGTATCATGTAACCGGTGACAGCCGCATAAGCTTCTGGCTCTTGCACAGGATCTGGTATTTCGGCACATACTACACTATCGACATCGTTAACCGTCTGAACCTTGTACGCACTTTTCATAATGAGGAGCATATGGCAATGCGGCAATCCTCTTTTTTGGAACTCAACTACGTAGACATAAGCGTCAACCTGGCCAAGAACGTTCCTTTTAAATAAATTCTCACATAATTCTTTGAGTTTGCCTTGAAAGACTCTCGTAATC